CTGGGCAACTGCCCACCTACCCCTCCCCTAACCTAACCCTAACTTATTATCAATTGACCGTTGTTGAGTTAGGGAAGGGGTAGGTGGGCAGTTGCCCAGATACTGATATTGATCCCACACTTTCTTGGAGGACTTACGCACACGTTCTACATTTTTGGCACTCTAATTAATTTCAATTCATTCTAATGATTGGTTAAGTCGTCAACCACATAAATCTTGACTTTTGTATACATTTTATTCCTTAATGTAGATCTGTTACTTTTCCGCGATTTCGAGCGAACGAAGAAGAGCATACAGCAGACGAACGTGCACGAAAGCAAGATAATTGTCAGTTTTCGCCCTTCTGCCACCGCGTGCCTTCCCCCCTTTTTTTTTTGCGATTACTGGCTAGCGAAGGCGAGCATACATCAGACGATCGCGCATGAAAACAAGACAATTGTCAGTTTTCGCCCTTCTTCCACGTGTGTGACTCGCGCTCCGCACGTGCCTTAAGAAAGAAAATATTCAAAATGACGTGTGTTCGGTGCGCGTTTTATCCGATGAAAAGCGTAATGGCTAACTCTTTTTGCACCTTGTGTTCACTAGGGTGATACGCCGGCTCCACCTCCCTTAGCTGTCCCTTCCCCGCTTTCTTCATCTACGGAATTAAACTCTCATGACGCCGAGGTTAATCACGCAGAGATATGCAGGCAGAACTCTGAGTCAGATGAAGACGATCTCTCTATTCCACCGGGTGTGATTCTTGTTACTACGCCCATAGAAGAATTGTCTCACGACGAGAAAACATCAAATGAACACACCAGCGCCATTCAAGGTATTTCAAAATTTTGAGCTGATTGATTTTGAGCAAGTCATCCATCGGTTATTGGTGCGGTATTAAAGAAAAAAACTGACTGGAATGAATCAGCAAACTCATTGAAAATATGTTTTTAACTGACATTTCAGGTCAAGTACAACATGATAACCTCAGCAAAGCTGTGCTAACGACAGGAATCACTGGAGCAACGCGTGGTAATTATTTAGTCAATTGTTTTTATAGGGGAAGTACCAAGCAGTCTGAGATAACAATGGCTTTTCGCAGTCGTAGGCATTGCAATCTGCCAAAAATAAAAAAATAATGCAAAAGATAAAACCATATAAACAGCAGTTCAGACATATTTCCTCTGGCGACCCTCTAAACTTTTTTTAATAAGGTTAAAAAGACGTTAAATTAGCACAAATATCATTCATCAGCTAATAAGCTTCCCTCATGCACCATTAATTTTTTGCAGTCATGTTTTTACTTTTGATCAGTAAAATTTTTGCTATTTTGCTTTCCATCAGTTGTCAGAGAACCGTCCTCTACCAAAGCTTCTGCGCCTCAACCCGTTACTCGTCCTTTTCAGTCAACAACAGGTATGTGATGTGTAATGTCTTTTACTAGTTATTAGCTAGAGTATGTCAGAGGTTCTCTTGTTAAAGGAATTAAATTCCTCTTAGACTTTGATGCCAAATTATTCAACAAATAGATTCTATGTGGCATACGAGGTGCGGCTGAGTGTGTCACTGATATTGTTAACGCATTTTGAGGTCATCTGTGAACTATTAAGGAGTTTAAAAAAACACGATGGCAACGGCAACGGGAACGTCACGAAACAAAAATGTTTAAAGAGCAGAACAATGGCTGTACACGTGAACAATAAATCTTTGTAAATTTCTTTGCCTTCTCTGAAAAACAACAACGTGAAATGACCAAACTTTGCGTTGTCTGAAGAACGTGAACGACGACGGCAAATTTATTAAATTTCTATTTCTAATTTAACGCTGTGTTCCATATTCAGTTTCAAGATAGTTTTGACAGTGAGAAACAAACTAAATGACGTAAGGGTGTCACGAGATTCGTAGGTAAAATACAAGTTCGTTTTTCAACCGACGTTGTCCACGGCGTCGTTTCTTAAACTCCCTATTACTGAACAGTGCTACGGTAACGTTTAATGCTACGGTAATGTTTTATATTTATATATTTGTTTTATATTTTATACTTTAAGCAGTGATGACACCATCTACGCGTCTGTCCACTAGATCATATGTAAGAATCAATCAAAATGTGTGCTGCAGTTCAGCTCATTGTATAAATAGTTTTTTACAGGGAGTTCAATTTTTTTAGAACTATAAGATTTGTTTGGATCATGTGGGGGTCGTTTTTAGAGAGAAAGTCTATTGAATTAGTCGGCCTTTTTGGTATTTATGCGATGTTTATTTCATTATTATCATTACCATTACTTTTGACATCCATCCAGGTGTGTCACCATGTCAGCTGAAGTATTTTCCTATTGGCCTTAGTCCTCCCTCCGCCATTTCATGGCGTCGAAGTAGTCCCGATCGGCCAAGCAGCAGTCCCAGTCTTAATCACACGCGAAGGCATTTAGGGACTAAACAGTTGGCAAGATCGCCGCTCACTAACAATAGATTTTCACGATACATGGCAAAGTCTGTACCTGATATGAAAATTTTATCACTGGAGGATCCAAGCTGAAATAGAGAGAGTGAATTTTTTATCGTGGTGCAAATTGTAAAATGGCTCAAAATTTCGATTATTTACGCGAATTTCTAAAAGCAAACCACGATTTACATTTGAGTGAATAAGTATTTTAAGCTAATACAAAACTTGTTGCCATTTCTGTCACGTATAAGTTCAGGGCTCCCAATTTTGGCAGTAACAATTTAGGGTGAAACATGCAGAGAAATAGAGCAAACTAACAAACAATTTTCTCCAAAGTTGGAGAAGTGTTGCGATTTTGTGCGAAGTAAACAAACCAAAGAAATTGTTTCATAGCATAATCAAAGCCAAAAGGTATGACTTGCGGCACAATGCGCGGGAAAAGCACTGTAACAAACGCCAAGCGTGGAAAATTGTCATGCTCTAATTGTTTACAGTAAGTTAGATGACGTGTGGAACCAATCAGATACTACGCAATGCAGTAAGAGATCTACCTTCAGACAAATACAACTTGAACTATATTGGTCAGTAATGGTAGAATTTAACGTTTAAGAAACGCAATGAAATTCTCTGCTCATAAAGTTAGAGTTGCTTCGTGCAGCTATAAGTTTGGCTGCGATGCAAAGGAGAGGCGTTTTATCGTTTACAAAATTAGTCAAACAATGTAAGTAATGTATTTAAATTTATTTATACATTTAGAATGCTAGATTCAGCATTATAAAAAGGTGTTAAGTTCAAAAAATAAGTTAACTTTTCTTAGAAACTTTTCACGTTGATGGGACAGAAATGTGGTGAATAAAAGTTTTGTTCTGCGTCGTGCTAGAAAATTTAGTTATTGCAACTCTCATTGTGATGTGAATTGCTCCGGTTTTATTTGCTACATACTAGGCCCTCCAGGATCATGAGTTTCCAGGTAAATTCCCTGTCTTTCAGCTCTCCACGAGCACTTTTCCCTCTCGCAGTATCACAGGCTGTGATGCTTGGAAAAATATTAAAGCTGTCTCCTCTAGCTGGAGATGGCAGGTATTTGAATCTTCGAAGTGTTTTGCTGATAAGCCCTTCATCCATGACCCTTCTTAAATATTGCAAATACCATGTCGAGGACGCTTAATAGCCTGAAGGGGGTGTTCACGATCAATCATTCCTTTGGGAAACCACGCTCTTCGCAATGGCGCCTAAGCCCCCCGTTTATAGGCCAGGCATTGAAAATTTCTGAATTACCTCCAACCCAATAGCCTTTGAGGTTTTTCTTTCTTTTCAATCCGGGATGTTTTCAATGAAAGACTGAGGAAGAACTGAAGACATAAGGCCCTCTAGATCGCCTGTGAGTCGGAATTACGCTAACATTTGTATTGATACACACTATCAGTTTCACGAGAGGGAGAGGGTTTGAAAAATTTTATATAACTGAAGTGTGATTGAGTGTCTAAAAATGATATCCAGCTTTACCATAAAAGGAAATTCCAAAATTTCCTATTCCAATATTCTTGATTTTACGGACTTAAGCGAAATTTTGCATATACCTCCCCAGTTCCCTGCGATGGGCCGAGAAGTTCTCGATCCCAGACTTTCTCAAATTAAAATAAACATTTGAACAACCCTCAGGAAAGCATACAACAGCGACACCTTTCTCGTGAAGCGATATAAAGTTGAAATATCCACCTCGCACGATGCTTTATCTCCTTTTTTATCTGCATGGTACCTTACTTTTACTATCGTTAGTTCTTGTATGTAGTTTTGCGACTTATCTGGTTTATAAAAGACAAAAATTCTTGCATATTCCGAGTCCACCTATGTCGAGGTAAGAAGTTTTCATGTCCTTGAATATTGAATGCTCTCAAGCAAACCAGTTTACCCTTTGTTAGCGTCAATTGCTTAGAAAAGGCCGTAGTCTTAACGGAGCCTCCAGTTGTTATGCAAGGGGGTTGATCCTACGGGAAAGCCAATTCGGAGGCGTGAGGAGGGCGGAGGTTAACGTGATTTAAAAGGCTAACCTTAGAGGCGACAACTACATCTGTAAACGTGACTTACCTCAACATACGTAAATCTCGCTGGCCTTTGGTATTTTGTATAAGATCAAAAAAATTTCACTTTACTAAGGAGAATTTTTTAAATAAAGTAATTTGTTTAGACCTCTTTTTAAATTTATAGATTGTCTGTGAGGAGTGGTCACTTTTAAGGAAGGGTTGAAATTTGAAAAGACTTGGTCGGTAATTTGCAAAAGCAAAACTTTTCCTTTTAATTTCCAGGTGCTAAATTTAGGTGAATGATGACAATTGCTTTTTTTTCTCTTTTTTTTCGGTTAAAGTTCACGATAGATCCATTAAAGGGAAATATATTATGATGCTATCTTTGTTTTAAACACAATCTAATTTCCACAGCACCTTTATGCCTAGAATACCGGTTTAGAAATATATGCTATAGTGAACACTGTTTCCATAAGTAAGTGACTTTTCCATTCCTCGCTTTTGATGACTGTGCTGCAGACTAAACCTCTGTCAATACGTCTTCTAAATATCTGTCAATAGCAAGATTATGAAACTTGCAACCAAACAATTTTACCAGCTTAAAGTTATTCAAAAATAAACTCAAAAAACACAACCTCTCTATGCTCTTATTTCCACCATCTTGCATTTTCGCCTAAGATGTCTCACTTTTATTAAATGTACATTTATTGCCATCAATTGCTATTAAGTATCATTACTAAAAATATTTTTTTCCACTCCATCTTCCTTCACCTCAGCTTAAAAATCACATTAGAGTCCTGAGTGGTAATATTTACAAGTTCATTGCTGTTAGTTTTTTTAAGGGCCATGCAGATGAGATAAGTTCTATGCGTCATACAGGTTATCCCACAGATCAAAAGTTTCTGGAATGGTAAGCTTATTATTATTTTTTCATGCATGCTCATAACCTTGTATTTTTAAATATTATTCTTAGTGGTTGCAATAATGGTTACAATATTTAAAAGTCACCCTAAATTTCACTGTGGTGCACTCCATAATACTTCTTTCAGCACATCTTTATAATGAGGATGTATGATTAAAAGAGCATAAAATTTCAGGGAACTGAACTCTGATACTCTAACTGAGCTTATGTTGTCACAATTGTGCATTCCGGAAGGGTGTTAGTTGAAGTCTATATGTCTAATTAGGGTTAGTACAGATTAACTTTAGGGTTAGTAAACAAGCCCTCCTTACTACCTTAAGCTGATGTTTAATTCTTAAGAAATACTTTTATTCCATTAATGATGACAGTGCCTACTACATATAGAGACTATCAAATGCAATATTTTTTATCTGCACAAATTGTTCTACACTTTTAATGAATAACTTTCTTTTTAGCTCATACAGGCTATTCAGAAAAAGATGCAATGCACAAATCTAAAGGAAACATTTTTCTCCCCAAAAAGAACATTCTGTTTTTAAATTTTTAAAGTAGGCTATTTAGAGACATTTACTATCTTACACATGCAGGCATATAGTGTATGGCAAGGTTCTTGTTGTCTGGTTCTGGCACATTCCTGTGCTTCTGGTGGTTGATCCAGAAATAATTAAGGTAAAAAGAAATTGTCTTTACAGGTTTAATACCATTAGTACTCAAGATTTGATTACATTTGCTTTAATGAGCATCTAGATTTATGACAAGTTTTAAAAATCACTAACCGATCACATATGTGTCAACTTAAACTAAGCTAACTTTTTTTGTGTAGAATGTGCTTGTAGTCAAGTGCCAACCTAAAGAGGCCATGTCTTATAAAATACTGGGAAGTCTCTATGGACAAAGGTATTTATCTTTCTGTTTTGGTTCCTTTCTTTTTTTGTTCTTTTTCCTTGATTCGTACATCACCCTTCAATTGTATAGTCGATCCATTCTTCTTGCTCACCTCTCTTTCTTTCTGTCTTTTTTTTTCTTTCTTTCTTTCTCTCTCTCTTTCTTCCTTTCTCTCTTTCTTTCTTTCTTTGTTTCCTATCCTGAGCTTCTTTTCAGTCACTTTGTCCAACCTACCTTCTCCTTTTACTTCCATCATCTCTTTCATTTTCCCCTTTTTTGTAATGCCAAAGGAATAAAGATTTTGAAAACTAGGTGAAATGCCTTAAGGGTGTCTATGGGTGGAATACACAATCGCAAGAATCTCAACACACATTTCAAAATCCAAAACTGAGACAGAATCATTTGGCACATATGAACTCTGTACTTTGAAGGTTATACATTCACTATATTTTAACATTACAAAAACCACACTGAAACATTTGTTGCTGACAACAAGTAATAACTCAAAGTTACTGATCTGGCTTAATTCCTTTAAATTGAGGATGGCAACTAAGAGAAAAAATATAAGTACTTTGAGAGAAATATATGAGGCTTGAACAGGAGTTTGAAACTGATCATTGCAAAGCTTTGAGATTAGATATAAAGTTTAAAACATCCCCATAATTTTTCAAGGTAATATTAATTGCCACTACCTGCATAACAATACTGTAACAGTTTCTAAGCCAAACACTTTATAAATGGGGCTGGGGGTGTATTTGACATCCAGCTATTCACTGTTATTGTAACTGTTGACTTACACTAATTTTTCACATGGTTTAACTGTACAACTTATCTGTTTCAGATTTCTTGGCCGTGGATTGGTAACCAACCTTGATGACGATTCTTGGAAGAAAAGACGTGCCATAATGCACCCAGCCTTCCATCGCAAGTAAGTATTCCCCATTGGATGAAAAGGGAAATTTGAAAGTCGTTTTTGGAATGATAATGTTGTACAGTATTATTTGATTGGAGTCACGTTTGGGATTTCATCTTAAAACTTAACAGAGACACCAAAACCATATTGTAAAACAGAAGAATTATGCCCAGCTGCAAGACTTCATAAACATTCTAAACATTCACTTAGTACTCTATATTAAATGGTGTAACTTTCAGGAGTCTAAAAGATTTGATGGGCTCTTTTAATTCTACTGCTGACCTTTTGCTTGAACACCTGGGTACAATGGCTGATGGACAAACAGAAATTCATATGTTTAACCAGTTTACCAAGGCAGCATTAGATGTCATTTGTAAGGTAATTAATTTATATTTTTTTGTATTTTGCCTCTTAGAATTTTCTGGCTGCTATAAGATACTTTTCCACTTGAGTTGAAGGGGTAGGGGGTAGGGGCTCTTCCATGTTCTACTTTCCATCCCCCCTCCTCTCTCTACAGACTTTACCTGTGATATGATTTGTCCCATCCTCATACAAAGCACTTAATTCTCTGTAATTACCTTTAACAAATCAGTCAGATGCACATTGTTAAAATATTTGACGTTCTTTTTTATTAAATCAGTCTCCATTATGGTGGATAGTTGTTGGCCAGGACACCTTTATTTTATACCCAAATGTTTGTATGGAATATGTGCCTTATTAAATATTTATTTGAATACTATTCTCATAAGAGAGAGCCAAGCTAGCTCACCCTCTTGCTATCTCACAGGTGGCATTTGGCATGGACTTAGAAATTATGAGTGGAAAGGAGAACAAGTTTTCTGAAGCTGTCTCTTTGAGTTTTTATGGAGTAGAAGAAGCATCTTTTGACATGTTCCACCAGGTGTGTTCTTTATCTCGTCATTATCTAACGTAATTTCAACCTCAAGGTTAAAGATTTAACTTCCAACTTGCCCTTTGTGCAAAAAACGTTAGCCTGCATGAAAAAGGTGCTCAGGGGTAAGGTAAGTGGTAGACTGTTGGTTGAAGATATGACCCCCGAGTTACCCAT